TCCAGTGGATAAGGGAGTACCTAAGCAATAGGAAGCAGAGAGTTACGGTGAGGGGTGAGACCTCAGATTGGCGTGAAGTCACCAGTGGAGTCCCACAGGGCTCTGTACTCGGTCCTATCCTGTTTCTGATATATGTAAATGATCTCTGAGAGGGTATTGATTCATTTCTCTCAATGTTTGCTGACGATGCCAAAATTATGAGAAGGATTAAGACAGAGGAGGACTGCTTGAGGCTTCAAGAAGACCTAGACAAGCTGAAGGAATGGTCGAACAAATGGTTGTTAGAGTTTAACCCAAGCAAATGTAATGTAATGAAGATAGGTGTAGGGAGCAGGAGGCCAGATACAAGGTATCATCTGGGAGATGAAATTCTTCAGGAGTCAGAGAGAGAAAACGACTTGGGGGTTGATATCACGCCAGACCTGTCCCCTGCAGCCCATATCAAAAAGATAACATCAGCAGCATATGCCAGGCTGGCCAACATAAGAACGGCATTCAGAAACTTGTGTAAGGAATCATTCAGAACTTTGTATACCACATATGTCAGGCCAATCCTGGAGTATGCAACCCCAGCATGGAGTCCATATCTAGTCAAAGATAAGACTAAACTGGAAAAGGTTCAAAGGTTTGCCACCAGACTAGTACCCGAGCTGAGAGGTATAAGCTACGAGGAGAGACTACGGGAATTAAACCTCACTTCGCTGGAAGACAGAAGAGTTAGGGGGGACATGATCACCACATTCAAGATTCTCAAGGGAATTGATAGGGTAGATAAAGACAGGCTATTTAACACAAGGGGCACACGCACTAGGGGACACAGGTGGAAACTGAGTGCCCAAATGAGCCACAGAGATATTAGAAAGAACATTTTTAGTGTCAGAGTGGTTGACAAATGGAATGCATTAGGAAGTGATGTGGTGGAGGCTGACTCCATACACAGTTTCAAGTGTAGATATGATAGAGCCCAATAGGCTCAGGAACCTGTACACCTGTTGATTGACAGTTGAGAGGCGGGACCAAAGAGCCAGAGCTCAACCCCCGCAAGCACAAATAGGTGAGTACAAATAGGTGAGTACACACACACAACCACAACCCACACAGCGAGTAACGGTGTGGGGGAAGGCATCAGAGTGGCGAGATGTCACCAGCGGAGTCCCACAGGGCTCTGTACTCGGACCCATCCTGTTTCTACTATATGTAAACGATCTTCCAGAGGGTATAGACTCGTTCCTCTCAATGTTTGCTGACGATGCAAAAATTACGAGAAGAATCAAAACAGATGAAGATAGACAGAGACTACAGGACGACCTGGACAAACTGGTGGAATGGTCTAGAAAATGGCTGCTAAAGTTCAACTCAGGAAAGTGTAAAGTAATGAAATTAGGTGAAGGGAGCAGAAGGCTGAACACAAGGTACCATCTGGGAGGTAAAATCCTACAGGAGTCAAATAGAGAGAAAGATCTGGGGGTCGATATCACACCGAACCTGTCCCCAGAGGCCCACATCAAAAGGATATCATCAGCGGCATATGCTAGACTGAGCAATATAAGAACTGCCTTTAGAAACTTGTGTCAGGAATCGTTCAGGACCCTGTATACCACTTATGTAAGACCAATCCTGGAATATGCAGCTCCAGCCTGGAGTCCATACCTAGTTAAACACAAGACGAATTTAAAGAAGATTCAGAGGTATGCCACCAAACTGGTCCCGGAACTGAGACCAATGAGTTACGAGGAAAGGCTAAGGGAGGTGAACCTCACAACCCTGGAAAACAGAAGAGTAAGGGGAGACATGATAACTACCTACAAAATTCTCAAGGGAATTGACAGGGTGGAAAATGACAAACTCTTTAGCGCGGATGGAACACGAACAAGGGGACACAGGTGGAAACTTAGTACCCAGATGAGCCACAGAGACGTTAGAAGGAATTTTTTCAGTGTCAGAGTAGTTAATAAATGGAATGCATTAAGTAGTGTTGTGGAGGAGGCTGACTCCATACACAGTTTCAAGTGTAGATATGATAGAGCCCAGTAGGCTCCGGAATCTGTACACCTGTTGATTGACAGTTGAGAGGCGGGACCAAAGAGCCAAAGCTCAACCCCCCAAACAAAACTAGGTGAGTACACACACACACACACACACACACACACACACACACACACACACACACACACACACACACACACACACACACACACACACACACACACACACACACACACACACACACACAGAGGCAGACAAGGCGTGTCACATGATATGAGAGGCGGGTTGGTCCTTTGAAGGTGGAGCGCTGTTGACCCGGGGCTCTTAGAGCAAATATTCTGGGTTCCCCCTCCCAACCTCACTCCATTTTCTTTTTGTGTATAACTGCATTGCTTTCATAGGCAGAGTTTTTGTACTGTGAGGTAACTGCATGCACATCGACAGGGGAGCCTGAGTAAGACAGAACACTGGACGCGTGATCCTGTGGTCCCAGGTTCGATCCCGGGCGCCGGCGAGAAACTATGGGATGAGTTTCTTTCACGCTCATGCCCCTGTTACCTAGCAGTAAATAGGTACCTGGGAGTTAGTCAGCTGTCACGGGCTGCTTCCTGGGGGGGTGGATGCCTGGTCGAGCACCGGGCCATCTCTCTCTCTCTCTCTCTCTCTCCCTCTCTCTCTCTTCCTCTCTCTCTCTCCTCTCTCTGCCTCTCTCTCTCTCTCTCTCTCTCTCTCTCTCTCTCTCTCATCTCTCTCTCTCTCTCTCTCTCTCTCTCTCTCTCATCTCTCTCTCTCTCTCCCATCATCTCTCTCTCTCTCTCTCATCTCTCTCTCTCTCTCTCTCTCTCTCTCTCTCTCTCTCTCTCTATTGATTGATTGATTGGTCAGTGTAGGTGGGGATCGGTCAGTGTATGAAGGGATCATACAATGAAGGTCAGGATCGTTCAGTAGTTAGGTATACTGCAGTCATGGAAGCGTTCGTTCAGTGTAGGTGGAGTCCTGAAATTAATGAGTACTTCTAGTGTAGAGACAACAGTGTAGAGACAACAGTGTAGAGACAACAGTGTAGAGACAACAGTGTAGAGACGACAGTGTAGAGACGACAGTATAGAGACAACAGTGTAGAGACAACAGTGTAGAGACAACAGTATAGAGACAACAGTATAGAGACAACAGTGTAGAGACAACAGTATAGAGACAACAGTGTAGAGACGACAGTGTAGAGACGACAGTATAGAGACAACAGTGTAGAGACAACAGTATAGAGACAACAGTGTAGAGACAACAGTATAGAGACGACAGTGTAGAGACGACAGTGTAGAAACGACAGTGTAGAGACGACAGTGTAGAGACAACAGTGTAGAGACGACAGTGTAGAGACAACAGTATAGAGACGACAGTGTAGAGACGACAGTGTAGAGACAACAGTGTAGAGACAACAGTATAGAGACGACAGGGCTCTACTTGCAAGTGTTCAAGCAGGTATCTGGATTGGGATTCAAGCAAGTGTTGAGACAGGTGTTTGAGCAGTTGTTCAGCAGGTGTTCAAGTAGTTGTCCACGCAGGTGTTCAAGCAGTGGTGTCCTCGCAGGTGTTCAAGCAGTGGTGTCCACGCAGGTGTTCAATTAGTGGTGTCCGCGCAGGTGTTCAATTAGTGGTGTCCGCGCAGGTGTTCAATTAGTGGTGTCCGCGCAGGTGTTCAATTAGTGGTGTCCGCGCAGGTGTTCAATTAGTGGTGTCCGCGCAGGTGTTCAATTAGTGGTGTCCGCGCAGGTGTTCAATTAGTGGTGTCCGCGCAGGTGTTCAATTAGTGGTGTCCGCGCAGGTGTTCAATTAGTGGTGTCCGCGCAGGTGTTCAATTAGTGGTGTCCGCGCAGGTGTTCAATTAGTGGTGTCCGCGCAGGTGTTCAAGCAGTGTACTGTCGCTAATATCTATTATTAAAACACTGCGAAATATGCAGATCTCTGGCGCTATCGTAGACAATATGAAGGGCTTCAGTGTTGTCAAGAGCTGGTAGATCTCCGGTGCTATCGTAGACAGTATAAATGATAACATGAAGGTCTTCAGTGTTGTCAAGAGCTGAATGCTGTCACGATCTAGCGCTATCGTAGGCGCTATCTCTGGCGCTATCGTAGACAATATTAAGGGCTTCAGTATTGTTAAGAGCTAGCAGACCTGGATTCATAATGCAGTTACGCAAGCACTTACGAACCTATACATCTTTTCTCAATCTTTGGGGGACTGTGTTTACAATTATTAAACAGTTAATGAGCTCCGAAGCACCAGGAGGCCGTTTATAACAATAACAACAGTTGACTGTGAAGTTTTCATGCTTGCAAACTGTTTAATAAATGTAACCAAAGCTGTCAAAGACTGAAGAACGATGTACACATTCGTTAAGTGCTTGCGTAACTGCTTCGTGAATCTGGCCCAGCACCAAGAGCCGGCTCCCACACCCTGTCCACACATCACAAGGGAGGTCAATAACACACGACAGCAACACAAATATATATTTGTTAAGTGACGTATTGCGCCAGAACGACACCGACACACTAATAAACTCAAGACACTTCGACATGCTCCTTCTCGCCCTCCAAAGATGTAAAAAAATTTGTATTCATTAATTCGTAACATCTGTCGCGCCTTGCGTTTCAGAGGACGCTATTGCCGTATATAAAACGATAGGTTATGCATTATGTCTTTGTACACTTTATACAACGTATGGCAACACCGTCCCCGAGAAGGCGGCAACTGGGGTACGAATTTCATGATGGAAAATATGTAGCAGTGACAATATGTAGTGATTAAGATGTTAAATTGTCACCTGGCGAAGAAACATTGGCTCCTCTCCCTCGACCTTAAACAACACCCCCAATGTTGTTATTTCAAAGCCTAGGTGAGGGTCAATGTTGCCAGTATATATATATATATATATATATATATATATATATATATATATATATATATATATATATATATATATATATATATATATATATATATATATATATATATATATATATATATATATATGAGGATGAAGTGCAATAACGCACTTATTAATGAAAATAATGACCCAGTATTTTGAAAACACAAATAAAAATAGATTATATATTTCGGTCCCAAACCAGTTCCGTCTTCAGCAGTGAGCGAGAATGATGGATATATTCTATATTTAACACCACAAGTTGCTGTATTGGAAATATTATTGCTTCTCAGGAAACATATCTTTATATTTTTCAGCACTAGAATTTTTTGCATTCTGTTCCCGAAGGAATCTTGCTGCTATTGCAAACATTGATTTCTGCTACTTTTGAATACTTCTTTTTAAGACTTTGTTAAAGAGGAATGATTTCTCTAAATATGAACTTCTCAGGAGATTAATAGGCTTGGTATTTCAGTCTACGAGCACAATTCCCTCGTTACCTTCAGGTTACGTCTTGCTAATGTTCGTTGATGTACACCCTCGCTATGTCGTTGTTCGTTGATGTACTGTTTCGTTATGTCGTTGTCCGTTGATATACATCTTCATAACGTCTTGCTGATGTACGTCTTCGTTATGTGTCACGAATACAGTCGTTATTACGCTTCGTTACGTACTCGTTGATGTATGTTATCATCACTGCTGTATTACGTTTCAATATGTTATATTCTTATCCTTCTTTAATAAAAGTGGCTTGGCGCTTTCCCCTGATAGTTCCCTTCCCTCCCTTATCCTTCTCTTCCCCTAATCTTTACTTTATATCCTCCTCCTCCTCCTTGTCGTCTGCTCGTCTTCTCTATACCTTGCAGGTGTGACACACCTGCTTGAAACACTTGGTCTGACACACCTGGCTACAGCTTGCTTCACGTATTATGATATATGTGGCTTTGCAGAACTAGATTGACATATTTTTCTGATATCTTATTTCAGAAAGATGGCTTTGCATATCTGGATTAACCATTTGGCTTTGCACATGTACTATCACACATCTGGCTTGACATATCGGGATTTGCACATCTTGTTTGACTATTCAGGCTTTGCACAACTGGTTTGGCACATCTGGCTTTGACCGTCTGAACTAACACATCTAACTAAATTCATCCGGCTTGACACTACTGGCTCACTACCTCCTGCTTGACATACCTAGCTTGACCCCTCCTTATTAAACCTGGTGGACGGTGGCTTTAACAGGCTTAAGCTCCAGCACCTCTCTAGGACTCTCCATCGCATCGCCAACACCGTTCAGCGCTAATCCAATTCTCTCCCCGCCAACATTAGGCTCCATCACCCCGACACTTCGATGTCTCTCCACTTCGATGTGGACTCCTACGCTGCCTTCTGCTCCTAGCGTCTCCACCGTCACAGCGGCTTGACCGTCATCTCCAACGCTATCGTCTCTCGAGTTGAAGAAATCTTCTTCCTCTACCTCCACCACGCTCCTGCTGCTGGGGTGGTCGACGATGACGCTACGGGTGTTGGCCCAAGGACACCCTCCGCCTGGGAGCTCGAGGCTGTTGCGGTGGTGCGAGCGAGTGAAGGTCCTCCTCAGGGCTGAAGACTTGTGGGGAATGGACGAAGTGCGGGCGTTGGAACCCTGGGGGAGAGAGATAGAAGTGGGAGTAATTGACACAGGTATTGACGGTGATAGACAGGTATTGATGGTGATATACAGGTATTGATGGTGATAGACAGGTATTGATGGTGATAGACAGGTATTGACGGTGATAGACAGGGCACAGGTATTGACGTTGACAGGCAGGACATAGGTACTCACATTGACTGACAGGACACAGGTACTCACATTGACTGACAGGACACAGGTACTCACATTGACTGACAGGACACAGGTACTCACATTGACTGACAGGACACAGGTACTCACGTTGACTGACAGGACACAGGTACTCACGTTGACAGGACACAGGTACTCACATTGACAGGACACAGGTACTCATATTGAGATGACACAGGTACTCACGTTGACAGAGAGGACACAGGTACTCACATTGACAGAGAGGACACAGGTACTCACATTGAGAGGACACAGGTACTCACATTGAGAGGACACAGGTACTCACATTGACAGAGAGGACACAGGTACTCACATTGAGAGGACACAGGTACTCACATTGAGAGGACACAGGTACTCACATTGACAGAGAGGACACAGGTACTCACATTGACTGACAGGACACAGGTACTCACGTTGACAGAGATGATACAGGTACTCACATTTACTGACAGGACACAGGTACTCACGTTGACAGAGAGGGCACAGATACTCACATTGACAGACAGGACACAGGTACTCACGTTGACTGACAGGACACAGGTACTCACGTTGACTGACATGACACAGGTACTCACATTGACAGACAGGACACAGGTACTCACGTTGACTGACAGGACACAGGTACTCACGTTGACTGACAGGACACAGGTACTCACGTTGACTGACAGGACACAGGTGGTGGTCAAGGAGAAGGTCCTCGGGCCCCGGTTAAACTGGTACTGTTGCCACTTCTTCTTTACTGCCATTGTCACCTGTGAGAACACAGCTGTTAGACAGTGTTCGAGGGCGTTAGACAGTGTTCGATGGCGTTAGACAGTGTTTGAGGGCGTTAGACAGTGTCTGAGGGCGTTAGACAGTGTTTGAGGGCGTTAGACAGTGTCTGAGGGCGTTAGACAGTGTTTGAGGGCGTTAGACAGTGTTTGAGGGCGTTAGACAGTGTTTGAGGGCGTTAGACAGTGTTTGAGGGCGTTAGACAGTGTTTGAGGGCGTTAGACAGTGTTTGAGGGCGTTAGACAGTGTTTGAGGGCGTTAGACAGTGTCTGAGGGCGTTAGACAGTGTTTGAGGGCGTTAGACTGTTTGAGGGCGTTAGACAGTGTTTGAGGGCGTTAGACAGTGTCTGAGGGCGTTAGACAGTGTGTGAGGGCGTTAGACAGTGTTTGAGGGCGTTAGACAGTGTTTGAGGGCGTTAGACAGTGTCTGAGGGCGTTAGACAGTGTTTGAGGGCGTTAGACAGTGTTTGAGGGCGTTAGACAGTGTTTGAGGGCGTTAGACAGTGTTACAAGAGGCTATAAAGTGATAGAGGTTGAGATAAAAGATTAACAGGTGTTAGATCATATTTTGTGGTGTTAGATGGTGTTAGACAGTGCTAGGGAGTGATAAACAGTTTTGTCAGATATTATAAGTTGTTAGACAGTGTTAGGGGCATTATAAAATATTAGGGGTGTTAAAATATTAGGGGGTGTTAAATTATTAGGGGATGTTAAAATATTAGGGGATGTTAAAATATTAGGGGTGTTAAAATATTAGGGGGTGTTAAAATATTAGGGGATGTTAAAATATTAGGGGATGTTAAAATATTAGAGGATGTTAAAATATTAGGGGGTGTTAAAATATTAGGGGATGTTAAAATATTAGGGGATGTTAAAATATTAGGGGGTGTTAAAATATTAGGGGATGTTAAAATATTAGGGGATGTTAAAATATTAGGGGTGTTAAAATATTAGGGGATGTTAAAATATTAGGGGATGTTAAAGTATTAGGGGATGTTAAAATATTAGGGGATGTTAAAATATTAGGGGATGTTAAAATATTAGGGGTGTTAAAATATTAGGGGTGTTAAAATATTAGGGGGTGTTAAAATATTAGGGGGTGTTAAAATATTAGGGGGTGTTAAAATATTAGGGGGTGTTAAAATATTAGGGGGTGTTAAAATATTAGGGGATGTTAAAGTATTAGGGGATGTTAAAATATTAGGGGATGTTAAAATATTAGGGGGTGTTAAAATATTAGGGGGTGTTAAAATATTAGGGGGTGTTAAAATATTAGGGGATGTTAAAATATTAGGGGATGTTAAAATATTAGGGGATGTTAAAATATTAGTGGGTGTTAAAATATTAGGGGGTGTTAGGCATTGTTAGGGTTGTTATACAGTATTACAGCATGTAACATAGAGTTAATGGGCTGTTAGATAGAGCTAAGGGGCTGTTAGACAGAGTTAAGGGGCTGTTAAACATTGTTAGCTAGTGTTTAAACAATGTTAGTTTTTCTTAATACTAAGGAAATGCTAACAAGGAATCATAACTGATCTTGTTTAACTGCTAGGTGTAAGGATAGCCTAATTACTAGACGTGATTAACAGCGTACAAATGTGGCAGGTGGCGGATTCAGGAGGATCAAACAGCTTTATAAAACACATTTAGTCAATGAAAGAATAATGATATGCATCAGAAATATAATTGTAAATAAAGCTGAGGCCAAACCAAGCCATAATCTCATGAACCCTCTTAAGATAACAAGAACAATTAGTTATGCTAATATTAGTTACCAAAAACTACTTGTCGTTGATACAGGTACCAATATAAGGTGCTAACTCACCTTGTCGTTGAGACAGGGACCAATATATGGTGCTAACTCACCTTACTCACCTTACTTATTCCTTCACGTGCAGACCACAAGATTCACCTGAGATTCACAGTAGATCCCCTATACTCACGAGTGACTCACAGTAGGTCCTTTGACTCACGGGAAAGTCAGGATAGGGCCTTTGACTCACCTGTTTCACCCGGGGATCACCTGACTCACCTGTTTCACCCGTGGATCACCTAACACTTCTGTTTCATTCGTGGACCACCTACCTCGCCCATGAACCACCTGAATCACCTGTTCACCCGTGGACGACGTGAGTCACCTGCTTCACCCATAAACCACCTGACTCACCTGCAAGGTGCCACGCAGAGGGACAGACGTACCTCAGTGTTGCAGAAGCAGAAGAGCAGAGCCACGCAGAACCCCTGGAACAAGCAGAGACGAGAATTTAATATCGGACTGTGGAGCGTGCGTCCGGCGTACGTTCGTGCGTCCGGAGTCCGACTGCCGGCCAATTTAGCGACCCACCGCCGGATCAAAGTGGGAACGATGTATCGCCTGAGAAAACACTCAAGCAGCGGATGTAGTAAGGCGACTTGTTTTTATTATTATTATTATTATTATTTTCTACCACAGACGTAGCCACACATTTACAATGCTAACCACCATATATACATTTTCTTCTGTCCTCCATGGACAGGGTTAGAGAAGTGTTAAACATAGAGTTCAAGGGTTTATTGAACAATCAACCACAGAAGGTGATTCGGTGCTCTTAAAATGCTAAGCTCACCTACATACGTAAATACATAGATACACAGATTTACGTATGCTCTACATAAAGTGTTAGATGTGTCTTTTACATAGTGTCATTAATATACATTTACAAAGGTGAAATGTAATTCTGATCAGCTTCCATATATATACTTTATACACATACATATACATACACACACATATATACGTACATATACATATATACACACACATGCATTCACATACATTTGTCTCTTTTACTCTGATAGGGTGAGATAGCTGATAGAGAAACTAGTGTGCAATTAACCACTTAATCATTGAAGGTGATTAAGGTGCTTTTACTAGCTCAGGTTATATAGTTATATCACATACATACATTGTATAATTGATACATTACATGGTTAATCTTGGGTACAAGTCCAATATATCATCAAGTGTTCCAGTACTCATATAGTAACTACAGAGTTCAGCATACCTCAGCCCAGGAGGGCGAAAGTCAGTCAGTATGGAACATTCTACAATATAATGTTCAAGAGAGTGCATGTTTTCTCTTTCACAAAGTTGACACATTGTGTACTCGACATTTGGGTTTTGAGAAAGCTGCCAGATACGTCTATATCCCAGGCGTATTCTGGCCACTATAACATCACATTGCCGGGTTCTTGTTCTATTAGTCCCATATGTGAATATCTCCTCACGATATCTATCATAATATTTAATGCTACAACTTTCAGGTCTTTGTGAATTTGTTAGGTCGATGAGATCTTCATTAGATATTTGTTTAAGTATTCTCTTTGTCACTGCTAATGAAAAACCCATATCAATTTCTACCACTGGTTTTCTACTGGCTGCCTTTGCAAGCATATCAAGTGTCATGCCTTGAGATGCCAACATGTGATGGTATTCATAGGAATTTAATTTCAAATCTGTTTTCTTTAGCAGCTAAGACATTCATTCGAATATCACTGACTATTTTCTGGGTGTCACTACTATGTGCGTTCAATGCCAGGAGTGCACTCTGCGAGTCACAGTATATAAGTCCACTGCCTTTGTCTTTTAAAAATTCAGTGGCAAGGTATATGCCTGCAAGTTCAGTTTGAGTTGTACTTGCCCAGTCATTGACGCGCTTCATTGCTGTATGTACGAAATATATTATATGCACATCCGGTACATCGTGGGAGCGACCTGTGGGAGGTATTCACAGTTCCGTTGATCAGTTCCTCTTTCCCTTCGGTCACAGAGTTCTCCCTCGGGGTCTGGAATATAGTTGTGAATTAATCGGCTGTTGATTGCTGGTGTTGACCAGCAATTGGTCAACAACGATTAATTGGTCAACAGCCAATTAATGTACAACTATATTCTACCCACTTCAAGACTCCGTACCAATATAGAAGCATCAAGAGGAAGTATAGGCCAATAGGCCCTTTGCAGTTACTTCCATTCTTCCCTTGCAATTATCCAATTTATACCCATTGAACCGTGTTCTGTCTTGTATTGGTCAAAAGTTTGTTCACCTCATCCAAAACTGTTTCAACATATCACCTCACCCAAATGCGAGTATATAAGACAAGCTGTTTAGCGTTAGAATTAGTAAAACTCTGTTTTACTAATTCTAATTCTAAGTGTTTTCAGGTTACAGTTGTGTGTGTGTGTGTGTAAACTAAAGTCATTGAAAATGTAATACGTTATTACGAAACGCGTTCAAGCGTCGCGTCAGACTAGAAATAAAAATGAATTTTGGAGAATTGATTTTTCAATTACCATCGACAGTAAAAAGAAACATAAGAAATATTGAGAAAATTCGTGTTAGAATTATTAATCTTACTTTTTCGGTCATATTTAACAACATATGTTTACAAGAAAGACTGCTACCAAAATATACTAATATATATATAAATATATATATATATAAATTTATATATATATATATATATATATATATATATATATATATATATATATATATATATATATATATATATATATATATATATATATATATATATATATATATCATCTTAGGATCACGTGACCTACCTGTTGGCATATTGTCTCAGGTGAGGGTCTTAATAGTCACCTGAGAGTCCTGTGACTCACTTACGAATAACTTGACTCACCTGTGTTACCTGTGCAACACCTGTGTTACCTGTGCACCACCTGCCTCACCTGTGTTACCTGTGCACCACCTGACTCACCTGGAAGGATGACACGAGGGCTGACACCACCTGGTACACCAGCTCCCAGTTGGACTCCGGCACTGGCCTGGAAAAATGGTGAAAAGTGGTAAGAAAGGACGACAAAAGTGGTAAGAAAAGATAAGAAAAGTGGTAAGGACAAAAAAAAGTGGTAAGGACAAGAAAATTAGTAAGAAAAGATAAGAAAAGTGGTAAGGACAAAAAAAAGTGGTAAGGACAAGAAAAGTAGTAAGAAAGAACGAGAAAAGTGGTAAGAAAGTGTTAGGAACGAATAAAGAGGGAAAAGAGAGAGTGAAGGAAAGGGAATGAAAAATGAAATGAATGGCAGGAGGGAGAGAGAGAGAGAGAGAGAGAGAGAGAGAGAGAGAGAGAGAGAGAGAGAGAGAGAGAGAGAGAGAGAGAGAGAGAGAGAGAGAGAGAGAGAGAGAGAGAGAGAGAGAGAGAGAGAGAGAGAGAGAGAGAGAGAGAGAGAGAGAGAGAGAGAGAGAGAGAGAGAGAGAGAGAGAGAGAGAGAGAGAGAGAGAGAGAGAGAGAGAGAGAGAGAGAGAGAGAGAGAGAGAGAGAGAGTGAACAGAAGAGGCAGGAGAAAGTGGAAGGAAATTAGGACTACACGAGAGATATATAAATAACAATATACAATTTTTTGTATTATTTTTATAATAATTTTTTGTAGTACTTTTGGTAATACTTTTGTAGTACATTTCAGAATACTTTTTAAATATTTTGTTTAGTGGTATTTTTTAAAGGAGCTCTCAGAGCTCTGTCTTCCCATAGTCCATCTTCAGCCTTACCCTATTACCCTTCCCTGGAACACAACCCGCTTATCGGGGTTACAACCATGCCTGCAGTTACTGCTGGATGAACAAGGGGGGGTGATGAGAGATAGGTGGGTGCCCAGTCAATCCTCCCTGCCCAAGGCTCGAACCTTACTACAACAGCACCAGATTTGCTTTTTTGGGGGGAAAGGATATGAGAACAAGGAGCTCGAGCATGAGAAGAACGGTTTCTCATTTTTGGACTATCGGGAATCGAACAGCGGCTCCTGCAAGAAGGATAGGATTTTGTGTGTGGGATATGTCGCTTCAGTCTTGGCTACCTCGGCTCTGCTCTCCTCTACTCTCTACCCTTGTCTCTTCTGTTTCTCCGTTTGTTCTGTTTATTTGTCTGAATGTTCTGTTTCTCTGTCTGTTTCTGTCTTGTTCTGTTTTTCTGTCTCTGTTGTAATTCGGTCTGACTGTCTGTATGTTCTGTTTCTCTTTCTGCTATGTTTCTGTTTGTTTAACTTTTCTGTTTTTCTGTTTGCCTGCTATGTTTGTGTTTGTTCTATCTGTCTCTGGCTTCTGTTGATCTGTTTTTTGCCTACTACTACTACTACTACTACTACTACTACTACTACTACACACACACACACACTCACACACACACACACACTAGGCTCAGGAATCTGTACACCAGTTGATTGACGGTTGAGAGGCGGGACCAAAGAGCCAGAGCTCAACCCCCGCAAGCACAATTAGGTGAGTACAATTAGGTGAGTACACACACACACACACACACACACACACACACACACACACACACACACACACACACACACACACACACACACACACACACACACACACACACACACACACACACACACACACACACACCTGGAATGCATTAGTAAGTGATGTGGTGGAGGCTGACTCCATACACAGTTTCAAGTGTAGATATGATAGAGCCCAATAGGCTCAGGAATCTGTACACCTGTTGATTGACGGTTGAGAGGCGGGACCAAAGAGCCAGAGCTCAACCCCCGCAAACACAACTAGGTGAGCAACTAGGTGAGTACACACACACACACACACACACACACACACACACACACACACACACACACACACACACACACACACACACACACACACACACACACACAATCAGGATGACAAACTGATAATCGTAAATGCCTACAGCCCACTAGCAGCAAGCAACACATGGACAAAGGAGAAACTGGATGCCAAACAAGAGGGCCTCATTATGGTCATGAGAGAGACTGTAGTAAGATCGGAGGGAAATAAGTAAGATCAGAATATACGATTAAATTAATAAGGAGGCATTTCCCGCCTGGCCAAAAAAGTTGTTCATTATTAAGGCACACAAACATTCATACTAAGCGGAGATGCCGGCCAAGAAAACAGAATTGGTTCAACATACATTGTGAGAGGACCAGAGAGGAAAAGACAAGAAAATGGGTTCAATATAGGAAGAGGCCTAACCCGCAAACATACCAGCATAACAAACAAGCAAGAAACAATTACACAACAGTGACGAGAGAGAGGCATAAAGGAACTTTGAGAAAGGTATAGCGGGCAGATGTAAAACAGATCCACGGGCCAGATTCACGAAACAGTTACGCAAGCACTTACGAACCTATACTTCTTTTCTCAATCTTTGGCGGCTTTGTTTACAATTATTAAACAGTTAATGAGTTCTGAATCACCAGGAGGCTATTTGTAACAATAACAACAGTTGATTGGGAAGTTTTCATGCTTGTAAACTATTTAATAAATGTAACCAAAACCGTCAAGAATTGAGGAAAGATGTACACGTTCGTAAGTACTTGCGTAACTGCTTCGTGAATTTGGCCCAGGCTTTTTCTATTAATTTATTGAAAGCAAGTTGCATGTAAAGCATTAAATCCAGAGATTGAAAACGGGGACGTGGACTATTGAGAATGAAAGAGAAATGTGTGAAACGCTAAATGAACAGTTCCAAAGTGTATCGGTACAAAATGAGGATTTCAGACAGCCGGACCAAATACCAATTCCAGAGTCCGCCATAGAAAACAGAGGTATCTCAAGACGAAGTGGAATAATTACTCAAGGCGCTAGGAAGAAATAAAGAGGTTGGAACTGATGGAGTTTCACCTTGGGTGCTGAAAGAATGTGCAACTGAGCTGAGCATTCCACTCCAATTAATATTCCAGACATCCTTGTGCACAGGAATCTTAGCAGATGATGAAAGGCAAACATAGTTCCAATCTATAAAAATGGTAGTCGAGAGGAATCTCTAAGTTATAGACCCGTATTACTAATAAGTGTGGAAGTCAAAACACTAGAAACAATAGTTAAATCCAAATAGGTCGAACACCTAGAGAGTAATGACATCATGACAGACAAAAAAAGTAAGTTAGTAAACAGTTGATTGACAGTTGAGAGGCGGGCCGAAAGAGCAAAGCTCAACCCCCAGCAAACACAACTAGGTGAATACACAGTATAGTTTTCAAACATGAAGATCCTATGAAACAAATCAACTTAGCTTTTATGATGGTGCCTCAGAGATACTACAGGAAAGAGATGGTTGGGTTGACTGTGTCTATCTGGGCCTAAAAAGGGCTTCATACGGGATGAGATTCTCAGCGCACCAACCTTAAAATCTGCTTTCCAGTGAAACTTAAAGAAGTGTTTCAGAGACGAGAGTGTAAGACTTACAAACAACACAATCAGGTCAGCTGGAGTCTCAACTTGTGGTACTGAAGAAATGTGCAGACGCGAACATAGCACCGCGGTTCAAGTTATATTCCAAACATCTTTACAAACTGGAGAACTTAGATGACACATGGAAAATGACATACAAATTTCAATAAAAATAGTGAGAAGATTGGTGGGAAAAGCAGCAAGAAAACTAATTTAAAGTCAAACGGGCAAAATACCTGGATAGGAACGATATTTCAGATATAGAAAGGAAATAGACAGAATAGCTTTGAAACACAAGGATTTGAGTAACAAATCTTTGTTTTGACGATACCGTCATATAGACATTGCAAGACAGCTGAGCTTGAGCCGAGTGTATATACTTGGACCTAAAAAAGCCTTTGACAGAATCCCACACAAAAGTCTCTTCTGGAAGTTAGGCCACACTGGAGTGGTGACAATCAGACTGCTAAATTGGATGAAAAATTTGCTGTGATCAGAGGTTATATATCTGACTGGAGAAATATCAATAGTGGAGAATCTCAAGGCTCCGTTCTTGCACAGGTAATGTTCATTGAATATAAATGCTTTACCAGAGGAGAGATAGGAGCATATATGTTAGTAGATGATGCTAAAATGCTAGAGAGAATCAAGGACTTAGATGACAGGAATAAAAGGGAATGCAAGCAGGAGTGAAAGGGAAGGTACTCTATTGGATAAGGGAGAACCTAATCAACAGAAGACAGAGAGTCACTGTGAGGGGTGAGGTGTCAGAGTGGCAAGACTTCGTCAGTGGAATCCCAGAGAGTTCAGTTCTTGGGCCTATTCTGTTTCTGATATATATAAATGATCTCCCAGAGGGAACAGACTCGTTCCTCTCAATGTTTGATGATGATGCAAAATTTATGAGGAAGATTAAGACCGAGGAAGATAGTATGAGGCTACATGATGACCTAGAAAACAGGACAAATTGTCCAACAAATGGTTACTAAAGTTCAACCCAAGTAAATGTAAGGTAATGAAACTAGGTGGAGGGAACAGTAGGCCAGACACAAGGTACAAAATCGAATAAGAATTCCTCCATGAAACGGACAGAGAGCAAGATCTAGGAGTTGATATCTCACAAAACCTGTCTTCTAAAGCCCACAACAAGAGGATATCATCAGCGGCATATACGAGGCTGGCTAACATCAGAACTTCCTTTAGAAACTTGAGTAAGGATTCATTCAGAACCTTGTAGTCCAACCACTTGGGGTGGACGGTAGAGCGACGGTCTCGCTTCATGCAGGTCGGCGTTCAATCCCCACCCGTCCAAGTGGTTGGGAACCATTTCCTCCCCCCCCCGTTCCATCCCAAATCCTTATCCTGACCCCTTCCAAGTGCTGTATAGTCGTAATGGCTTGGCGCTTTCCCCCGATACAACCTTCTCACAACCTTGTATGCTGCATATGTCAGACCAATCCTGGAGTATGCGACTCCAGCAAGGAATCCATAGTTTGTCATGCACGCGGCAAAGGTGGAGAATGCTCAAAGGTATGCCGCTAGACTAGTTCAAGAACTAAGAGCCGTGAGTAACGAGAAAAGGCTGCGAGAACTGCACCTCACG